TATACTAATTATAAGAATTTTATATTATTCTTAACTATAAAGAATCTAAATAAATAATAAATTAAATAGTATAAAACTCTTATAAATTATAACTTTAAGATTATATACTATAAAGAATCTAAAAACAAAAGAGTAAATATACTTAGCTAAAGAGAGAATTTAAAATTAAAAGAGTAAGTAAGTAATATACTCTTACTATATATTACTAAAAATAAGAAATATAAAAAATTATATTATATATTTAGAATAATAGCTACTTAGATAATTAGAAAATAAAAATATATTTATTTAAGAAAAAGAGAACTTTTTTATATAATAAATAGTAGTATATTCTTAGTATACTTTAAGAGCAGCTTATTAAGGAAATATATAAATACCTACTATATAGATATTAAAGTATAGAGAAGACTCTTAACTAATTAAAATAATTATATAATTTCCTAGAAAGCAGAAAAATAGTATAAGAAGTTATTAGAAAATATAATATATATAATAAAGTAAAATTAATATAATATATACTATATAGAGAATTACAACTAATATTACTACTAGAAAGAGTATAGTAAACTATTATAATAAACTTTATTGTTAAACTACTAAAGTTAAAAGAACTAATAATAAGAGTAGCTTATAATAGCATTCTAGTTATTATAAATAAACTTATAAAGTATACTTACTATATTTCTTATATAGAATAAAGTAATACTAAGGACTTAGTATATATATTCTTTAAAATAGTTATTATATAATATAAATTACTAATAAAGCTTATATTAAATTAAGACAAATTATTCACGTTAAACTTTTAGAAATACCTTATAGAAACTATAAGAGTTAAATAGAGCTTATTAATAGCATTCTACTTATAATTAAATAGATAAATAGAAATACTAAACTAAATACTTAAATAGTATCTATAAAGCTATATAAACTACTAATAGAATAATTAGGTAAAATAGCTACTACTAGCATAATAAGCTTATAATAGCTCTAAGATTAATAATATAAAGATATTACTATTTAGAGCAAAATATAAATATAACTCTATTATTAAAATATATATAGCATATAGTATATATATACTAGCAGCTATAGTATATATAGTAAAAATTATAGAAATATAGAAATACTTACAATAAAAATAAATATTTTTGATTTTTGCAGAACTAAATAAAGCACTATGCAGACAAAAAGAGATTGCTAGCGCTAATCTTAGAGGAGAGACATAAAGCATACCTTATTTGCAAAAACATTAAAATAAAACAACCTAGCAACAAACTTAACTAGAAGAAAATTAGACTATTCCTTATTAAACAGAAAATATTAGAAACTAACTATAAACTATTATTGCTAGATAGAATAAGAATCTATTTAATATTTTATATATTATTGCTAGAGAAAGCACTAGATAAATCTATAATTACTATAAATATTATAATAGAAAATAATAGTAAATATAAAGTTAAATAAATACTTAGAGCTAAAGAAGATAAAAAGAATTATTATTATTTTATTAAATAAAAGAGAAGTAGAAAGAATACTAGTATTTTTTTAAAGCTATTTAGCTTTTTTATACTTTATATATTCTAACTCTTTAATATTATTAATACTATATATAACTATATATATTATTTTCTTAAACTATAATTTCTTTTATTTCTATAAATATAAGACCTTTTAATTCTTAGCTAGAGTATACTTCTTAGCTTCTTTAAGCTCTCTCTTAAGCTTATAATATTAATTTATAATACTATAAAGCTATTAAGAGGTTACCTCTATAATATTATAATTCTCTTGCTTATTTACTATATACTTTATATAATAACTTAAATTAGAAATAAAGGCTTTATATTAGGAAAATTCTATATAAGCGCAGTAAGCATAAGCCTTTATAAAGAATAAGAATAAATTATTAATTATTATAAAAAGAAGATTATTTTAATAAAGAGAAGAAGCAGATAAAGCCTTAGACTGCTATTTTAAAATATAGTTAGCTAATATAATAGTATATAATAATAAAAGAAGAAAAATATATAATACTTAGCTAGCTTATTTTAATAGCCTTAAGAATAAAACTAGTAGAGAAGAAGCATAATATTATAAATATTACTATATAAGATATAGAATAGAACTATACTAGTAAGAATAAGTATAACTTATAGGCATAAAAAGAAGGCAGAGGCATATAACTAGCTATATAACTTAGAAAGTAATTAAAGAAGTTAATATTTAAATATATTAACTAAGAAGAATTAAACTAACTAAACCTTAAGCTATTTAATTAAGACTTAAAGAGATTAATAAATAAGCTAGTCAATTTAGTTTATAATAAAGAGATAAATAAGTACTTAAGAAGAAGGTATTCTACTATAGTAAATAGTCTAGTTCTCTATTAATTAATTTAAGTAATAGTTTTACTATTAAGAGTTATACTCTTAATAGCCTTATTATACTACTTATATTATTACTTAGTAACGCTTAACTTAACTTACTTCCTAAGAAACAGACCTACTGTAACTTAGAACTTAAGCTACTGTTATATACAGCACATAAATTACCTACAAGGAACGTTTGCATGCATTTTATATACAAGGATTTAATATACTTTATGCCTACATTTCTTTGCATATATAATTAAAGTTAAGAGAGGAATACTAGCTGGAATTTAACAAAAAGACTAATAAGCTATAAAGACTAAACTACTCTATAGGAGGAAACAGCTACAAGAGTTATTTTAAGCTACTAGCTATGCTTAATCTAGCAGCTCTACTATAGAATTTACTTATAAATAACTCCCCTTCCCCTCCTAACTAGATAGAGAGGAAATTAAGCCTCTATAACTACACTCTTTAATATATACTATTACATACAATTTTATACCATACTATAAGTCCCTTCTATTATACCTTAAGAATCCCTATTATCTTATGCTTAGTAATTAACTAGATTACATAAGCTATATTTATTATATCTATTATATTATAAAGAGTCTCTTAATTAGCTGACAGCCTTATATTATATTATAATATAAAGCGTTTTCTTTATATAACTAATGCTAAACTATGTTAAGGACTAGCCTTACAGGCGACTGCGTGTAAGCATTACTAGTATTAACTATAAACTTAAGGAGAGGAAAGAGAGAAAGGAGAAGCTCCCTGTCCCTCTTTTCCGCCTATTATATACACGTAGGTCTAATGTGCATCCGAAGCGTATCCGACAAGGCACCGACACGGTGCCTTGTACCTACTCGAGCCTACAGCTCGAGTCTATTACAACTATATATTTCTACTTATTTATTCTTAACCTTTATTACTTTTTAGTATAATATATAGCAGCTATATTATATACTAGCTTAATTTTTCCCTGCTCTAGAGCTCTAAGCTATACTAGTGTCATGGTCTGAGCTATGCTCGACCTTAATGGAATAGATGCGCTGCAATGAATGCACTGCACTGCGCGCGATAGGGGACATAAGCCCGTGCAGAACCTATATAGTGCCAGATTGAGCAAGCTAGGGCAGCTTGTTCAATACGTACTCTTTTGGCTCAACGGCCAAGAGGGCTCCAGCATCGCTGGGATGACTGCGGCTGGCACCCGCTATTGCCCAATAGGGCTAGTCCATCACAACTAGCTAATTTTTAAGGTAGGCTTAGCTTAATTCTACCTCTTAATTATATAATAAAGTATATAAGTTAACTAAATTTCTAAGTAACTAGGCTAAAAATTTAAGTGCCTCTAGCTAAGTTCAAACTAGCTCTCTGCAGAGCGAGACAGAGCTCTATAGCGCTTAACTACTGCGCTACAGAGGCATAAAATATATATAGTAATTAACTATAATTATAAAGATATATATAGTGCTATAGCAAATTAGCAGAATATACATTAGGAAAATTATAGTAGCAGCATTTATAGATGCAAGCTAATGTGCGACTGTGCTGTATAGGTAGGTTAACAAAGGGGTAGGCTATGTTCCGCTCGCTAGGTCGAGCATGGCTAGTATTATCCTAATTCTGTGCACTTACGTGGCTAAATACCCTAGTGGGTATGCCGTGCCGTGCGATAGTATCTAAGGTACGCTGGGTACTAAAGTAAGTAAGTTACTTTACTTAAACAACGAGCCTTCAAACTTGCTGTCGCTAACACGCAAAGGCCAAATATACCACCAGAGCACACAACACCCTTGAAGCGTAGTAATGACTGACTTGGATCAGTCCGACGGAGGAAGCGCGCAAAGTCACAATGCCCAAACCCGCATCCGAGCCCCCCGGCCGTCTCATCTCTCACTTCACCAACCGGTACGTCGCCCGTACAGATCTGACATCACAGACATGGTAATGAGATCCGTAGATCCCGGGCTCAACAGAGCGAGGGATGGGACTCGCTTTGGGAGTCTGATGAAAACGATCTCTGGGACCGAGCGATGCCGTCTCCTGCCCTAATCGACTTTATCGAATCCAAGCACGACCACCTGCATGCCCCTCCAGGAAGACGGCTCTGCGCCCTTGTTCCTGTACGAAAATCCCCCCAAAATGCCAAGTAACTACGTCGGTATTCAGTGGTCGTGTTGACACGGAACACAGGGCTGTGGGAGAGGTTACGACGTGGCCATGCTTGCCTTGCACGGCTTCGACGTATACGGGCTTGAAGTCTCCGCAAAAGGAGCGGAGATAGCCAGGGACTACGCGACCAGAGAACTGGTCGAGCCGCATGAGTACAATTTCGGTAGCAAGGACTGGCCAAAGGGTCAGCCCGGCCGGGTCAGGATCATCGCCGGAGACTTTTTCGTCCGCAATTGGGAACAGACTCTGGCCCAGGACGACGTCAAAGGCTTTGACCTCATTTACGACTATACGGTGCGTCCGTCGCGTCTCGGTTCAATCCACGGTATTTATACTTGTGCGAGCTGACCTGGATTTTGTCGACAGTTTCTCTGTGCTCTGCTGCCAGAAATGAGAAAAGACTGGGGTCGTCGTATGAGAGAGCTCGTTGCCCCAACCGGTATACTTGTGTGTCTTGAGTTTCCCATGTATAAAGACGTCAAAGCTGTCGGCCCCCCGTGGGGTCTTAATGGGGTCTACTGGAATATTTTGGCAGTGGGAAAGGATGGCCTTGTTGAAGAGACTGAGGAGGATTCCGAGGCAGAAAATGGCCCATTTAAGCGGGTTGTGTATTTCAAGCCGCCAAGGTCTTATGAGGCCGGTAGGGGCACTGATATGCTCAGTGTTTGGAAGCCTCAATGAGTCAGTAGTGACGTGTAGCAAAGATGAGCGACATGTGTTGCAAATAGGATATGAGACACGCATCGGATATTCCGACGCTGCTATAACATTGAGGAGCACATATACACGTCCCTGATCTGCATAGACGTGATGAGGTCCTGTCGCCCCTATCCAAAAGGGACAAAAAGAAGAAGAAAAAGGCGATGGAAAGCATCGTGGAACGGCTTGCTCCCGGCAGGGCTTGAACCTGCGGCCTCCGCATCACTAATGTTCTATTAGTACGAAGCTCTAACCAACTGAGCTACGGAAGCTTTCCTTCTGGGGTGGTGGAACCGTCTCTCTAGTGAAATATAAGAATTGAAGCCGCATTTTTCAGGCCACACCACACTTCGTCGCAAAGTTAAGCTCCTTGAAAAGAAACAATATTTCTTCTGTAAACACTAGTCTGTAGAGTAAATGGGGTCAAGCGTTATGAGATTTTACAAGTGTAGCGGAATAGTTCCGGGCAACGAGGCTCCGCGCGGCGTCGCAGTCAAAACCATTGCCTTTGAATGTCTAAACCGTGGGTGCATGTCGCCATGGGATTGACATGATCCTCAACCTTTACTAAGAGGGATTACTTCTTCACAAAGGAGTTGGTCTAGAACATGCATTAGCTCTAAGACATTCTCTCCCGCTACAGTTGCTTGGTGCCCACGGGGCGCTGACATAGACGAACCCACGTGTCTAATGGGGGTTTGAGTCGTGTGTGGTGTACGTATTTCTAGGGCAGAAGGGAAATCCTGCGGCATTACATATCGTTGAATGCTGCTATTATTAGTACGTCAGGGCAGGAGGGAAGTTTTTGTGGGAAGAAAGAAAAAACTTGAATCAATTTTTGAAGCGGATAGGTAAGAGATGGGAAAAGACAAAAATAGAGTACGAAGTACTATTATTGAAAAGAAAGATCAAATGGAAGACAAAGCGATGACAGCTGTCGGGTAGGCCACCCATAGCTCATTACTTGGTGCCGTGTTTCTAAGGCAGCAAATGTTGCCAATGCAACCGTTCCTGACACACCAGATTAATTTTTTTGCAGGTGGCAGCCGAGTCGCGCTCCTTTACTGCAGCTTGTCACTTCCACTTTCCGTCACTTGACACCTCGCTCCCAATCTTTGCAAGAAAGCACGTCTTTGCCTGGCGCAAAGTTGCATCTTGCACTCAGCCTTCAAATTGAGAAAATAGTCGATCTATTTTCTCACCAACCCGACGATCGAGATAGACGACAACATCGCAAACCCTGCAATTAAACAAACGTTGCGACCGTTCATCCTCCATCTCAACGGCTGCCCCTCGTCGATTTTGACGTGGAACAAAGTAGGAAAACGACCACTACATATACCATGGCCACTGTCAGCGAAACTACCAACATGGACCAACAAGTTGACCTATCGACGATCCCCATCTCTCCCAACGGCAAGAGCGAGGGCACCGAAGCCAAGAACGGTGACAAGCCCGTGACGGTTTTTCACGATAAGGACAACTTCAATGTCAAGCACCCCCTGCAGAATAAATGGACTCTTTGGTTCACCAAGCCCCCGAGTGGAAAAGTAAGAAATCCGACGCATTGATCACCAGAAGTCGAGCATAGTTCTAATGCACTGCTCTCAGGGTGACAACTGGAACGATCTACTAAAGGAAGTAATCACTTTTGACTCCGTCGAGGAGTTTTGGGGTGTCTACGTAAGCTTTGACGTGGACCGCAGATGTAAATATGATCATAGCCTCTAACCTGACACAGAACAACGTTGCCCCCGTCTCTGACCTAGCCCTCAAGTCCGACTACCACCTGTTCAAGGCTGGGGTGCGACCGGAATGGGAAGATCCTCAGAACAAGCATGGTGGCAAGTGGTCGTTTCAGTACAAGGAGAAACGAAATGTCGACATCGATCGCTTGTGGCTGCAGGTCATGATGGGAGCGATTGGTGAGACCCTGGAGGAGGAGGACGATGGCGAGGTCATGGGTGTTGTCGTCAACGTGCGAAAGGCTTTCTATCGTATCGGTGTCTGGACTCGTACCATTGGTAAGAGCATCCCCGGCCGTGGAGATGGTGATATCGCCGGAGGCAAAGGCCGTAGCGGAGAAAAGAGTAAGGATATTCTCATGTCTATTGGACGACGCTTCAAGGAGGTCCTCGAGCTTCCCAATAACGAACAGGTCGAGTTTTCGGGCCACTCTGATAGTGCTCACGCTGGCAGCACGAGAGCCAAGGCCAAATACACTGTATAAATGGGTTGAATCACGGAGAGGATCTAGGCGTCGAGAGGGTTTTGGGGAAGATGTCATGAAGGATCGGATAACCCGGATATTAGGGTATTCTGATATTCGCTGACGCACCGCTCGATTCCCTTTTTGCTCTTTGACTGCATGGGCAATGGCTTCACGGTTTTGACGACTGACGAGGATAGAATCGGTGGATGGTCCTATCGGCTTGCTCAGTCGGCTCACATGCATCTGGTTAAGACGCTGCATTTTCTCTTGGCGACCAAGCCTTGTGTTTGAAGCTCGTGTGTAGCTACACACAATTCTGTCTCTAATGTGCACGGCGGCGTTTGCTAGGCTTTGTTCAGACGGACGGCTCCGCCGAGGTTGCAGACTTTGGACCTGTAATGGCTGTACCACAAATAGATTTCTGATATTTGGCCAGTCACTTAATACATATATACTCATCCGGGTCCGACTCCGTTTTTTTGCGGTGGCCCGGTTGCTGGTTGCATGGCCTTGTCCTTTCAATAGGGAGACTCATTCTGTCTCTATTCAGGGGTCTAGATTTCAATCATTGTACCCCGTCTATATGATTCGTGCGTCTCCGTTCAACTCCGTTACCCCTTGCCAGAATCTTACAATGATCGTCCAATCCTACATTTCGTCACCACTAAGTTCATCCGCAAAGACGGCCTTCACGAGCTGCTTCTTGTTAATCTTGCCCATGGCGTTCCTCGGAATATGCTCCACAATCTTCATGACCTGCGGAATCTTGTAGTTGGCCAACCTGCTCTTGAGCGCGCGCCTCATGTCCAACGCCGACCACTTCTGAGCCACGTCCTTGTTGAGAATGAGCACGGCGCCAACCTTCTGGCCCCAGTTTCCGCTGGGGACTGCGACGACGGCAGCTTCTGACACCTCTGGCAGACTGAGGAGTTCGCGCTCCACCTCCAGCGCCGAGACCTTTTCGCCACCGGTCTTGATGATGTCTGCTGTGAGGCGGCCCTGGATGAAGTACAGCGGCCCTCTGGTCCACGGCTGGCTGTGGGAGGCGGAGAGGACATGGCGGCGGACAGCGACGTCGCCTGTTTTGAACCAGGGACCGCGGCCGTCGGGGTCGGGGATAAACTCCTTCGCAGTGGCCGAGGCGTTGCGCCAGTATTCTCGGAACACGGTTGGCCCGCGGAGCTGGATCTCGCCGGAGCGTTCGCGGCCCTGGGAGTCGACTTGGGCGCTCGGGGGGATGATTTCACCCGTGTCCACGTCCATGAGACGTGCTTGGACCGAGGGCAGGGGCCAGCCGACGGAGGCGTCGATGCGGTCGGTGAAGGAGAGGCCGCAGCTGAGTGCCATGCCGACTTCCGTCATGCCGTAGCGTTCGAGGAGGACGTTGCCGTGGCTGAGGTCTGACCAAGCGGTCTTGACGGGTGTCGGGAGGGCGGCGGAGCCGGAGATGTTGACGCGCATGTTTGCGGGGGAGATGGCTTCTCTAGCGGCGCCTTGGAGGGCGGCAGGCAGAAGCTTGTGACTGGCGAGGAGACGGCTGTAGACTGTGGGAACGACGGTGAAGAAGGTGACCTTTGGCTTGGGAGACCTTGTCGCGCCATTGGTGCTGTTGGTGGGGAGGAACGGTGCCGCGAGACGTTTCCATACTGCGTCAGCGTTGAAGGGGAACATGAATTCAATGGATGAGCCGGCAAACAAGGGCGTGATGACGGCGTTGACGGTGCCGTGGATGTGGTGGAGAGGGAGGACGTGGAGGAGGTGGTCGGCTGGGGTGTATTTCCATGCTTCCATCAGGGACCGTGACTGGGCGGTCAGGGCCGATTGCGGCAAGAGGACGCCTTTCTGGGACTTGTTAGAGACTTTTTTTCTGCGTGCTTCCTGTACACTGCGTTGAGCGTTCTGGCTTACAGGTCTGTTGGTAGTTCCCGAAGTGTATAGCATCAGCGCGGCACCGGCCGGGTCTGAGCCATCCAGGGGAACGACTTCACCCTTGGTGCCACCTTTAAGCTTCTCTAGTTCAAGATGGGCCGGCTTGGCGGCTAGGTCTGTGGCCAAGAGTTCTGCTGCTTTGGAAGCAAACTTGGGTGAGGAGACGAGGAGCGCCGTTTCACTGTGGTCGAGGATGTATTGCAACTCTGGCGCCGGGAACGCAGGAGACATGGGGACTGCGATGGACCGCGCCGCAAGCACAGCGAGCAAGGTGACTTGAGAAAGAAGCGTCAGCGAGGAAGAAGCAAGTTACCAGTGAGGAGATGAATATAAACGTATATACATACATACATATATATATATATAAAGGCTACGGGAGACCACTCACCAACATAATCGTAGCTATTCTCGACGAGGAAGGCTATTCTCTCCCCATTCAAGTCCCTCTTGCCACAAATTTCGTAGAACCGCTCCCTCGCCCTCCATATATCCCCTAGCAATTCGCCGTATGTGAAAGTTCTCCCCGAGGCCGAGTGAATGACGGCGGTGGACTGGGGGTCATGCTTAGCAATGGCCTCAAATATGGGCAGGCGCGGCAAGGTCGTCGAATGCATTCTCGAATTGGAGAGGCATGAGCAGCACACGCCCACCCGCGCCGGAGAGTAAGAAGGCGAAGGCGAAGGCGAAGACGAAGACGAATGCGGAGATGAGAGAAGGGGAGACGAATGAGCTATGCGCCGGAGAAGCGGCGGCAGACTGCGTCGGAGCGTCATGGGCAAAAGAGGTCGGCGCAACAGCAGGCGCCGAGGTGGTGTTTATCGCGCCTCTTGGCCGTTTCTCACTCCGGACACAGGAAGTGGAACCATCTGCTTAGGTATGGGCGGAATATCTGCACGGCATAGGTGGAAGGGTCTCCAGCTGAGTGAGATGCCTGCAGCTTGATCGTGTGATGGGCAACAGGGAGTAAGCGTGAGAGGATTTGCGTCGCAACTCAAGGCGACGGTGCAATGCTCCGTCTCGGGCCGGCGTATGCAGTGGCCGGTGGGAATAGACAAAAGCGCCGAGGACTTGGGACGAATACGTCGACGCACCAAGGACTGGCCGTGTCCCAGACGCCAAGGTCAAGCAAAGTTGTTGGCATCTCAGGCGCTGCTTTGTCCGAAACATGGAAGAAGAGGCGGAACCCAATTTTGGGGGCCGACATGCATAATGGCGGGGCCGGGCACTGGTTGATGAGCAGAGAGGCCTCGATTGCTTCGTAAGTACTTAGCTAGACTTGGGTACTTGATTCGACACCGAACCATGTCCTTGGTCGGTGCAAGACGAGATGACAATGTAAAAGTCACATTGAGGCATTGTACCTAGGTACCTACTAAGTACGTAAGCACAAACTCGAGTACCTAGTAGGTACTTAAGGACCTAGAATTGTTTGTGTTCCTGACTAAGTGGTAGGTTGTGTTATTGGGCTGACGTTATACCGTGTCAAAGAGTATTTTTAATTTTTTAATTTTTTTATATATTTTTTAAATGAAAATTCACTCAGGTGGCAACCTGGAAGACAGAACAGCATGGCTTGAGCGTTTGTCAACCTGCTTCCACTGCCGACATCTGCAACTCAACTTGGGCGGTCGGTTTGCTTGTGTCGCCGTGTCACCACCTCGCTTCCCCTTTGCCGAATTCGATCATGTGCAGAAACACACACAATGCAAACAAACTGGCTCGCTCTGGGCGGGCCGAGCACATGGGTACCGTACCTGTGCCTGTGCCTGTGCCTGTGCCTGACGCCCTCACATCTGCTTGCCCTGCCCAGACACCCAAGGAGATGCGCACCGCGTCGAGGACTGCACGATTCATCAAGTGAGCCACGCCATGTCGGAGGCGTGATGCTGCATTCCAGCAGCTCGTGCGTCAGGCCCGATACGCACTCCGCGCACCAGACCCATGTGGGTAGCATGAATCACATGGCGTGGAGCATGAATGCGTGCATATCGAGAGTCTTGATGCCATGTCAAACTTGTAACTGGAGCACTCGAGCGCATGAGACTGCACTGCTCCGATCGAGAATGCAACGCCCAGCACTTTCGCCCATCTAGATAGCAGGCAGGTCTCAGCTCCGCCGTCCGGCTGTGGTGGCACAGCATGAGTAGTATTTCTTTTGCTTTCCTTTCTTTTTGTCCTTGCCGCTTTTCTCTCTTGTCATGATTGCATCTCATCTCTGCTGTCGCCGGCTTCTGCCGCCTCGCAGCATGACCCCCCCCCCCCCGCCAAAAAAAAAAAAAGCTTCGAAATGTACCGCCGCGACGGCTCCAAGTCCCCACGTACAGGAAAACGTGCCTGATGCTCCACTGCACATGCATCCCCCGTCACCGCTCCGTGGCCTGAACGGCCTTTCATTGGGCCCCCGCCCGTCCCAAAACCGCCCCAATGGACTGAGACCCATGCAGAAGCGCAGCCTTCTTTGGTCCGTGTCTGCATGCCTGCTGCGCTCACCGACTAGACCGAAGAGAAGGGCGAAAGCATGGAGGGAGGGGAAAAAAAATAATCACAGCGAAACAAGCCGACTCTTATTGGCAGTTTTGCTTCGGCTTGCAATAAGCATTGTAGGTGCATCCGACAAGAAAGCGGAGAGAGCCAGGTGCTTTGTCCTCGGTGTTGTTCTCCTGAAGATTTAGTATTTCTTCTTCTGCTCCTCCTCGCTCACCTGGTCCCTCTTCCCGTCTCTCACACTCGCCTCTCTGCGCACCAAACAACCCGCCTCGAGAACCCGCAAACTTCGACGCGGTGACCACTGACCATACCTTCTTCCCTCCCAATCGACATCGGCCTTGTACGGAGCGCCGCTGCCCCGAATGTTGCGACGATACGCCCTCGGTTTCTCGAATGTCGGGCGACAGCTCTCCACCATGAGCTCCAACACGCCCATGGAAGATGCCATCCGTGCAAAGGTTGGTTGAAGCTGATCAGGCGTTTCGACAAGGTCCCTCAATTTTGTCCCACCACCAGTCGACCGTGGCTAACTAAGTACCATGCGGCCATTAGATCACTGCTGCCTTCAATCCGCAGACCCTTGAGATCTACAACGACTCCCACCTTCATTCTCACCACAAGGCCATGCAGGGCGTTACTTCCAAGGAGACTCACTTTAGGTATGATGACGGGGCCTTGCCTCACACCGCCACATGTATGCCGGGACCACGCGGTCCCGTGTCGAGCGCACCATCGGCTAATCCCAGATCCATAGACTCGTGATCACATCAGAAGCCTTCAAGTCCAAGATGCAGCCGGCCCGCCACAGAATGGTCTACGCCCTTCTCCGGGACGAAATGGCCCTCGAGGGCGGCATTCACGCTCTCCAGCTTCGAACCCTGACCCCCGAGGAGGAAGAGCGCCAGAGCAAGAAAAATGCCGCGGAAGTCGCTGCCAAGGAAGAAGAGCCCAAGGAAGCTTGAGAAGAATTAAAAAAGAAAAAAGAAACAAAACAGACATAACCCGTCCCACGGGTGTTTGATGACAGGAATGCAACACAAGAATACCGACCTTTGATTTGTTCCTTGTAACAACAAGGAACAGGTGAAAAAACCAGGTTAATGACAAAATAAGCAGCAGGCCCTGCCTGCCACACTCGGGAAGTGTGGATGGGAACGCAACAACGGCGGCTGAGGAGGAGCAAAATAATTCTTCGTGTTCAGCTGGGAATGACGCAACGGTACACTTTTTAGATTCTAGGAAAACGAGTCTCCTCAAGGAGACGTTATGACAAACCTGGATTGGAAGGACATTATTGTTTCCTACTATTATTGGCAACACCTAGCTAGATCAGAAAAGGGCCCACGCACAAATAGACACACGTCTGCCTCATGAATTCATGACCATGAGGATCCAGGGCATACATCCATTCCGTCGCAAGACAACCAATCTGCCATTTTAATACGTTCATGCACTTCAGGCATCCAAATTTGTACATTCGACAAAAGTGTACGAGCTGCCCAACACGCCGTCGAGCCATGTCAACTCAGTGAACTCCGCGCACTGCTACTGGCCTTCTTCTTTCTGAAGTGCTCACGCAGTAGGGCTCTCCCCTTGGCGGATCTCGGCCCCCGCACGTTGCTCGTACTAGCCGATGCTAATCTTTCGAAATACTGGAATTCCGCCGAAGCTTTCGGCCTCACAACTGACGGGGGCGGGGGAGCTGCCTCGGGCAGATCGGGAGCGTCGGACCCCAACTCTGGCGACGCTGGTTGGGGGCGTGTCCTCTTTGCAGCCCTACGGTGCGAGATGTCCGGTGCCTCAACATCAAAATTCACAACGTCGTCTCCGCTGAATTGTCTTTGTCGCTTTCCCAGCACACTCCCTTCCGCAGTTTCACTGGCCTCGATGCAAATACGCCGTCTCGCCCTGGCAACCTCCTCCGGGAACATGTCAAGCACATCCTGTAGATTTTGCCTTGTAATCACCATTTTGTCGCACTGCGGCACGCCTGACCGCATGTTGAACCATTCGATCGCGGGCAATGGCTCCTGTCCTGCCCGCGCACCGGCCACGTATCCCAGATAGTCTTTTGAAAAGGCACGGATGAAGTCGTCGTAGAGGAATTCATGGAGGGCACGCGCTGACTGAAGGTACTTCAGGGACAGGCAGGCTTTGACGAAGTTTTTTAGGGTACCACTGTGTGACGGGTAGGACGGGTACGCGTATGTGAAGAGCTCATACAGGTTTGAAGAGGCTGCAGGGGGAGAGATTCTTTCGTTGATAGAATGCGGTCGAGACCCCGCGGACACATGGGTTGCTGAAGACGCCACGGAGCGAGGTTCTTGGTCGTGGGGGCTCAGAAGAGGCAGTGGTGAAGTAAGGGGAAGGGCGGCGGTGGCTGGGGTTTGGGTTGAAGTTGACCTTGTTACACATGTAGCTGGGACGAGGGAGCTGGATGAGGTAGATGGCGAGCTTTCTACTTCTTCTGTACGTAATGTGTTGGGGAGGCGGGTGAATGATGTCGATGCGGCGACAGGCTTGATTGAGGTGGTGTCCCCGAACTCGATCGGCTTGAATAAACGACGCCGTTGGTGCTCTTTTCGGGCTTCAACGGGGGCGGATACTCGTTCTGCGACCACGGTTCCGGGGATAATCTTGGGCTCTGGTTGAGCGCAAGGCGGAGTTTCGCTTGCCACGGCCTGTGAAGCTATGTTCGTGGCGGGTGTGGATGTTGCTTGTAGAAGTCGAGTGGACTCCAGATTGATCCTGGCATCAGGCTTCTTGTAAGCTTGAGGCAGCTGCATGTCCATTTCATCTTCCTCATGTTCCTCGTCTTCCTCGTCTTGCACGTCTTGCACGTCTTCCTCGTCTTGCACGTCTTCCTCGTCTTCCTCGTCTTGCTCATCTTGCTCATCTTGCTCATCTTGCTCATCTTGCTCATCTTGCTCATCTTGCTCATCTCGCTCATCTTCCTCGTCTTCCTCGTCTTCCTCGTCTTCCTCGTCTTCCCTGTCTTCCTCCGCGGCGCTTATGATCGGACGACTAGGTGTGGTAGGTCGCTTTGGAGCACCTCTATCTGGAGAAGGCGACCACGTCAAAGGGGTATGTGCTCTCGAAGTTGAGGACTCGCCATGGATTTGTTGATCATGGCAAGCATCTTGCCGTTCCTGGTCCTCCTGGTGCTTGAAGCGATCGATGTTTCTGACCACGTTGCTGCTGCGTTGTATAGTTTCAGGAAGGTCGGCTGCATCGACTGTGCCACGCTTGTCGGCAATCTCATTCTCTTTCCCTTGGACGCCAGGCTGAACCCTCTCAGGCAGCTTGTACACATTGACCGGCTTGCCCTCGCGCCTCTTTCTGAGCAAAAATGCTTCCGTGATAGTGTCCAGCACATGACTGGGCACTTGAGGTTGACCCTGACGCTGACTTGCCTCCACGGCCCACGATCCGTCTTGGTCGAGAATGTGCTGCTGGTCCCGGGGTACGACCGTGAGACTGCGCCGGCCTAACAGCTTTTGAATATCCTGCTGAGACGACGATGCGAAAGACATGGCGATGATGCGAATAGACATCTAGGCGTGTGAATAACCGCATGAGTGGGTGGCAGCGACAGCACGATTGGATGTCATGACATCTGACACGTGTTTGCGAGACTGTACAGATACATGGCCTGCGGCTACCTAGCGGCGTCTGGTCTGGAAAAGTTCCAAGGGCATTTATCACCTGCTTCATGAAGCGACACTATATGCTGATCCAGAGGCGGTTGGATCGGATACCTGGCGTGGTGACGGAGAGACGCGTCGACGGGAAGGGTTCAGACATTCGACGTGGCAGCCGGACTGGAGCATGGATGTGTGGCGACTCGGCGAACAAAGAGCTTGGTAGTACTCCGTACTACTAAGTAATTATGCGGAGGCGGTGGCGGCCCCGCCTTTTGGCAGTTGAGCGCCGACGGCGCCTGGAGAGGGGCAAGGGCAGGAATTGATTGGCCCCCGCGGCCACCAACGCACGCTGCAAAGACAGCTGTCTAGCCGGACCAGAATGTGCTGGGCACATCTGGGGTGGGCATTTTGATGGGACCAACGTACGGCACCAAGGCTTCAATTGATGTCCAACGTGACATCCCTCGTGTGTCACAGTCAAACATCCATCTTCAACAGCAAGCCCCCAACTCTCTCCAAAGGAATTTTTCCCCGCGACGCAGATCAAGTTCACTTCGTGTGCGTGGCTTGCAGACCGCCGCAATCCCGTACGTACGACGCCGCATTCTCATCCAACGCTGCCTCCTTATTTTCGCCTTTGATTGTCTCGCGCCAGTTTGCTATTCGCGGGCTGGATTGTTACGTCAGCTCTGTGTCTGGTGGAAGTCTTGCTTGGATACGTGTCGTTGCAAGCTATAAACCACGATACGTCCATCGCCTTGGACGCCAACAGACCTGCAACACTCCGCCCGTCTACCTTGTTTCCTCCCTTTGCCGCCCTCTCTCGCCTCTCCACGCCTTTTTATTTACACATCATGGGCTTGCTAAGTCGCATACCATGCGCTGAGCCTTCACGAACCCGAGCCTAAAGTCGAAATATCCCTACCGCCCATGGCACGGCAAGCTTCTTGTGTCCCTAAGCTCGCGATAACCGGGGCCTGTTCACGGTCCTTGCAAAGGTCAGAAGCATGGCAAGCAGCACCGCCTCCAAGGCGACTCGCCCAGCCTCGCCGACAGCCTCCATGGGACTAAGCTCGCCCGTGAGCTTCCGAAAGCGACGCGGCTCGACCAACTCGATATCTTCCACCATAGATAAAGAACAGTTAGCGCAGGCGCTCGATCAGATCCACACATCAGCTAGTCGATGCGAATCTTTGACAACATTCAACGACTTTGCCCCTCCGCCAGAAGGGATTTCAACTTCGGAGAACAGGCCGGGAGCGGGGGAGTTGGTGCAAAACGGCCTCAGCGGTCTGTATAATCGGTTTCGAGAGGCAGTGGGTGGCAGCAGCCCATCCAAAACCACGCCTAAGGAGGCCAAGGAGGGCAAAGACAGCTCGGTACAGACATCGGAAATTGCCTCCAAGAGATCGTCTACAGCGGCTACCCACAGTTCTCGGCCCTCCGTATCGTCCCTTATGCGTGCCGACACTAATGCCACCATCATGGCCAACCCTTTATCAACCATGGTCTTGACTGATGCGTCTTCTCCAACAACAGCGTCTGGGAACATGGACACACGCCCGCAATTGCAGTCGACGAAGTCGAACAGCATCAATCTCATGACCGGACCGCGCTCCAGTTCATCTAGTAGGCAGAGCTTACCGACCAAGGCCACGAGTTCCGTCGTTGCTGACCCTACAATTGCACCGCCTGCCTCGCTGAAGCGAGATGCGAGTCGTAGTACTATTCGCACCGAAGACAGTGGAGGACAGGGTTCCAGCAGAAGAAGCCTTACCAAAGCAGAGCTTCAGACGGAATCTGCGAGTCTTTACGATGCCAAGGACGGTAGGCTGCCACCTCGAGCTGGACGGGATGATGAATCTAGTGCTGATGGCAGCCTTGATGCCCCGTTTAGTCCCGTTGCAGGCGAGCCATCGACAGCCTCAACTAACAACGGACGCCACCATGCTCGAGGTCCGTCTGTCACGTCCTCCCTGTTACATCCTGATGACATGACACGGACACCCGCAGTCATCGACAGAATAAGCCGGTCTCGTTCTCCTAGATATTCAGGTTCAAGAGGCTCTTCACTTGATGTAGGAATCGCTGCCGCAAGTGCCATCAACACATCAGCACATGGCTCGGTCTTTCACGATTCCTTCAGCCAGGAGATCAAACCAAACCATTTACACCCCGATTTTGGACCAATTTCGGGTACCACTAGCGGCCAGGAACGTGCTTCTGACCAGATGAATGCTCAGCTTGACAAAATGCGAAGACAAGTTTTGAGCAAGGAGTTCTGGATGAAGGATGATACTGTCAAAGAGTGCTTCCTCTGCCAAACGCCTTTCACCGCATTTCGCAGAAAACACCATTGCCGTACCTGTGGTTGCATTTTCGATTCCAAATGTACCACCGTAGTTTCGGGTGAAAAGTTCGGGGTTCAAGGGTCGTTGCGAGTATGCAAGAATTGTCTCGAGGTTATCAGCCGTCGATTCGATGGCAGTGGCTCTGACGACTCTGGGGACGAGCGGTCCTTTCTACCCAAGATTTTTGGACCTAACAATCCCAAGGAATCCTCTGAAACTGTCACAAGCAAATCCTTGTCCAAGACATCAAGCGTGGCTGCTGGGTCTGAGGGATCGGAGGATTCTCGGCCTCTGACGACACCAATGATGGCTATTCCAGCTACTCGGCGCATGAGAGATTCTGCCAACAGGGCCTCCGCCGTGTTGGAAATAGGCTCTCCTCAACTAAGTAGACCCGGTTCGTCTCGCTCCTTGAAATCCCTTACAACCTCTGGACGTCCACAGTCATCTGCTGGTCATAGACGACATCATTCGAAACATGGCTTTCTTGGACGGTTCAAGCCGGCCCCGGACCAGCAAGCACCATTTCGAAAAGGTATCGAGGAGGAAAGCTCAAAAAAACCAAAGTTTCCTGCTTTTCATGACGATAACATTATCGACCCAGATTTGGCGGATTACATGTCGGAAGACTCTAGTGGGGATGAACAGATGGGCATTTTTGCGACCATGACGGCAGCATCGGATGTCCAGCCTACAAGTTATGAGCACGATAGATCTACGCTCCCGTCCTACTTGAACCAAGCCCGGAAATACCGTCATCGGCCTGGCGAAAAGAGCATCAGCGGCATGAGCTATGTTAGTAGAGGTGTTTTAGACGATACCAGTGGCCCGATCAGTCTATTGAATCACAGGAGGTCAACGCGGCGCCGAAATCTCAGCATTAGTGGAAGTGCTCATCATCACGGCTCTCCGCGGCCAAAGTCTGCTGTGTACAAGGGGCCATCTGCGTCTTCAGAGGCGCTCTTTGGGTTGGAGAACACCAATCAACCGGGAACGCAGCTGACCCGGAGTGACTCTTTGCGTAGAAAGAGGATTCCCAAGCAAGAACTCAACCGTTCCAGTTTGAAACATGTTGACAGACTGCTTTATCAGCTCCTCGATGATGCTCAAATTCCGAATCCGGGTGCATGGCAGAAATCTCTCGTGCCCATTCTACTTCAGCTCACAGACGATGTCACCCCCGATGTTGCCAAAGGAGAGGACATGGATCTGAGACATTATGTCAAGCTAAAGAAGATTCCTGGCGGACGTCCGGGTGATACATCATACATCTCCGGGGTAGTGTTCACAAAGAACCTGGCATTGAAGAGGATGCCACGGCGGATTGCAAATCCGCGTATTGTACTCGTGACTTTCCCTATCGAGTATCAGCGTCATCAACAGCACTTTATGAGCCTGCAGCCAGTAATCGAACAGGAGAAGGAGTTTCTACGAGTTGTCGTACAACGAATCACCAACCTTCGGCCACACCTTTTACTGGCACAAAAAGGTGTATCAGGAGTCGCTTTGCAATACCTCTCGGAGGCTAATATCTCCGTGGCGTACAATGTCAAGGACACGGTTATAGAAGCCGTGGCCCGATGTGCCGAGGCTGAAATCATTGAATCGTTGGACATGCTGGCCCTGCCAGTTCGAGTTGGGCGATGTTCTGCATTCGAAGTGCGAACCTTTGTTAACAACGATTATCCTGGTAGGAAGAAGTCGTATATTTTTCTCTCGGGATGCCGTCCTGATCTGGGATGCACGATAGCCTTGCGAGGCGCATCTGGAGCATTATTAAAAAAGGTGAAGCACATCATGGAGTTTATGGTGTACGTTGTGTACAACCTGAAGCTAGAATCAAGTCTTCTTCGAGACGAGTCCGTCGAACCCCCTGAGGACAGCGAAACTTCACTATCAAATTCAATCCAAGCCCTGAACGATAGCTTCCGCTCTATCAGCTCAGCTGGGGAAGGCTGCAAGCAGGGTCCCACTGTTGTCGTCAATCACCCGTCGAGCGAGTCTGAGCCGCCATCCCAGGTTACGGTGGACAGCCTCAGCACGAACCATGACGATGCCGAGCTTGTTGGGCAGGTCGGTGGACAAGCCACTCAACCTACCAAAGTGGTGTCTCTACATGCCCATCATACACAAGCTCCTCATGACAGCCAAGTACCCGATGATATTCCGATGCCGACCTTCTATAGCGACATGGTGGCAAAATACGAAACCAAAATTCTGTCCGCGTCGCCATATGTGAAATTCAAACAACCGTACCTTCTGATGAAGGCTCGTGAGCAAGAGAGGAGACTTCTTTACCTTCGGCGACTTCGCGATCAAGATGCCGTCGAGGAGGAATCCGAAAAAGCATGTCGTCACAGGTTTCAGTTGATCAAGCCTGAAATGGTGGAGAAGATTGGCCAGAAGGCACCTCGGCAAGTCATGGAAGTTCTGCATGCAGTCCATGATGCAGAATATGACAAAGCCCTCTTCAACTATCAAACCCAGACTCGCCAGTGGGAGGCATATATCCAAGGCAATATCGACCTGTTCGACCCATATTCGCATCAAAATATAGTGGTTCTATACTCCGTTATTTGCACCGACACGAAGATACCATGCATAGAGCCAGGACTGGTGGCCATCAACTTCTATGACGAACAACATGTCGATACCGGCATGGACGCTGATTGCACACTTGGCCAGTATATCGAGGATTTGGCCTACGGAAAAAACGATGTCTGCAACTGCAACGGCTGTGAAAAGAAGCTAGTTGACCATCATAGAACGTACGTTCACGATGAGTATCGTATCACTGTCTTTGTGGAACACGTTCCCAATCCTTCTCCTCGGCGCCCGGAACTCGGTGACGGCATCACAATGTGGACATTTTGTAAGCTCTGTAAGAAAGACTCTGAGGAAACAGCTATGTCGGATGCAACCTTCAAGTACTCCTTTGGGAAATATTTGGAGCTTCTGTATTGGGGCCGCGGTTTAAAGATCAAGAACATCAAAGATTGCCCCCACGACCAGCAACACGACCATGTTCGCTACTTTAGTCTCCGGGATTCCCGAGTGCGAATTCACTGGGATCCCATCGATCTCCTCGAGATAGTTGTGCCTCGAGCAAGAATAACCTGGAAAGTGGCGAATGATCTGAAGCTAAAGAATGAGATTTACAACAAAATGGAAGAACGCTGGAGCAAGTTCATGGCTTCAGTCCGAGCTAGACTGAAGAGTATTCGCACGGAAAGCCTTTTACCGGAAAAGGCAGAATCTTGCAAGGCCGAGGTGGAGAGGCTTATGAAGAAGACCCAGGAGGAGCAACCTGCCATCATTCGACAAATGCAGCGTACTTACGTCGAATCCAAATATTACGAAGTTGTTCCATTCAACAAAATTATTCGCGAGATGCTAGAGAAAGCCGGCGAATGGGATCAGGCGTTTTCCAAGTTCGAAGCTGACTTCCTTGGCGACAAGGATATGCGCCAGATCACGATGATGCAACTAAAGAAAATCTTCACTGACAATGAATCTAAGGAGTCTCTTGCCTCAAATGATGGAACCGGTTCAGCTGGAGATGGTGAGGATCGGCCGTCTCAAACATTCACTGAGACGGCGGAGAAGAGTACACAACCAACCGAGTACACTGATACTGGAACGGAAGCCAGTCTCGCGTCATCCAAAGCGCTGGAGGCAAAACCAGAATGTGAAGATGAGAAGGTGTATGTCCCCGCGGAAGGAGTTGAACGAGTAGAGGGACTAGATTTAGCTAGATCCCCTGAAGCAATCGCTACATCCGCCCCGAGCCCTCAAAGCTCGGCCTCCACCGAGACAGCTTCACGAATCCCTATTGCACAGACACCGGTGGCTTCACGGCCCTTGGCTTCGCCCACGGGCAATGGTCGCCATCCAACAGACACCTCCATTTCCAGCCAGTCGCTGTCGGAGAGAATTGATCAGATGCGACGCGAGCAAGCTATGCAAGTAGGGGACGGCATCACGATTTTACCAAAGGCTGTGCCGGAAAGGGGATCTAGCCGCAAGTCTGGCTCTAACATCTCGCCACCTATAGTTCGCGCGACATCTCACCCTGTTCGAACGCTGCCGACATCGCAGTCTGCTGCTGTCAAACCCAATGCACCGAAGGATGGCAGGTCTAGTACGGCGGCTGATTCAGTTGCGGAAACGCTTCCAGAAGGATCTATCAAGGTGGACAAGAAACTCTCGGATCGCTTGGGATTGACCGCCTTGAAGAATCGCAGCAAAACTGCAACATCAGGAATTCCACGTCTCTCCCACAAGAAGAAAGAATCCAAGGTTTCTACGTTGGCTAGACACTTTGAACAGCTAAGCCGAGAATTTGAAAAGGAACGCATTCGTGATCGCAAGGAGAGAGCGGCGAGTCTTCGGCAACCCCGTGCGAGGCTCCCGAGAACCTCGACAAAGGCTATTGTACAGGTTTATGGTGACGTTTCAGAAGCATTTGAGGAGCCCCTCCCGTCAAGTGAGCAGATGCCGATTCGGGATGGTGACCAAAATCAGACCAACGTCCCAGTAATACCAGAATCCAGCGTTCCAAAGCCGGAGCCTGCAGGTGTTCTGCGCACACATACAGAACCAAACATGAAAGCTGATGACGAAACGGCCAAGTCGGAAACTGAGAATACTCCAGGCGGAGAATTAAGCCAAGCCACTTCGGATGACGAGGCGTTGACCAGCGACATTGACTCGTCCATCACTGATGAGTTTCTGCCTGATCTTCAAGAGTTGGCAGAGGCTCTTGAGCCAAGCACCGATATTCCCGACGAACTTCCCAAGCATCAAAAGACTAGCCTTATGAAATATCTGGCGAACTTTTGGGCCGAGACATCGGCTAGTGGATGGCCGCCACTGGAATATCCAATCAGCCCTACTGACCATATTTTTGTGGATTCCGACATTATCGTACGGGAGGACGAGCCGAGCTCTGTCATTGCTCTTGCGCTGAACAGCGACGACTATCAGGCCAAGCTCGCAGGGATCATGCGCGACTACCAAGAGGATCCAGAGCTCGAGGTTGACGGGGCTGGCGATGGAGAGCCAAGGTCTGTGCCCGTGTCTGATATTGCTGACGGGGTCATGTACGAAGCGGACCTGGAAAAGAGTCTGCTTCGAGTAACTGGCACTCATCTCAAGTATCAGTTCAAAGAAGGCGCGGCGATTATGACGTGCAAGATCTTTTATGCGGAACAATTTGACGCCTTGAGGCGAAAGTGCGGCGTAGCCGAGAGAATCATTGAGTCTCTCTCTCGCTGCCTTAAATGGGACTCGAGAGGTGGCAAAACCAAGTCCGTGTTTTTGAAGACTCTGGACGATAGGCTTGTCTTGAAGGTAAGAAGAAGAAGAAGGTCGAAATCAAGTCGTGAGTTGACCTAACGCGCCGATAGAGCTTGTCCCCAATCGAAACGTCTGCTTTCTTGCGTTTTGCTCCTAGTTATTTTAGCATCATGGCCGAGGCTCTGTTTCACGAGCTTCCATCCGTAATTGCCAAGATGCTCGGATTCTTCCAGGTCATCATTAAGAACCCAACGACAGGTGCCGATGTCAAGCTTGACCTCTTGATTACAGAAAACCTGTTTTACGATCGGTCACCAACTCGCATTTTCGATCTAAAAGGATCGATGAGGAACCGCAAGATTCAATCAACTGGGGAGCAAAACGAGGTACTCCTGGACGAAAATATGGTGGAATACATTTACGAATCACCGCTGTTTGCGCGAGAACATTCCAAGAAATTGCTTAGAGCGTCAGTCTGGAACGACACACTGTTTTTGGCTCGACAAAATGTTATGGACTATTCGTTGATGATTGCGGTCGACGAGGAGAGGAAAGAGTTGGTCGTCGGCATTATTGATTGCATCAGGACATACACATGGGACAAGAAGCTAGAAAGCTGGATCAAAGACCGCGGATTCGCAGGTGGCGGCCGAAACAGACCAACCGTCACAAGTCCCAAGGAGTACAAGTCGCGATTTCGAGAAGCCATGGCTAGGTGAGTGAGCTGCGCAGAACCCCCTTGGCAGGTCCCTGTCACTTATACCTTTGTTCCAGATATATCCTTCAGGCGCCCAACCGCTGGCACTTGTTCAACAATCCACAGCTGTCGACAAACTATGCGCACGCGAGATTTGAGGAACCCGAAGCAGGGACGAGTTGACGAAGCGACAAAAAGTGACTTGATTCTGAAGAGCATTTGGAGTTTACGGACAGGAGAAATAACAAGCATCCATACACATCACACAAGGTTCCTTCTCGAGGGTTGTTCATCAAGTCCTGTTATACTCGATTACACGTATACTTTGTGGCATGTCAATGTATCAACCCGTAGCGCCAGCATAAAGTAATGCGTCATGTTTCTCTGATGTCTATCCTGACTGTTCCATGAAAGCCGTGAATGTTGATGCTCTTTTGTTTTTCCCCTTGAAAAAAACTATGCATTCAATTACTGGAACCACCTGCGCATGACTTCCGACATGTGTGCCGGTAGTTGTGCCGGCTACGGCGTGGGCCCGAACGCCGATTGGCCAGAAGACAAAGGACGGCTCAACAACTGACCCGGTCTCAACGACGGGCCACCGGCATCGCGTCTGCCTCCGCGTCTGCCTCCGCCGAGAAACCCCTTCCACCGCCTCATGCCGCCATGTCCATTGACCTCAGCTGGGAAACACTAACCAGCGGTCCAGACGGCGACGCCCTCGCCGAGCGCATCAGGGGCTTCATCCACGACAAGTTCCAGACAGTCCCCCTCCCTCGGTTCATCAAGTCCGTCACCGTCCACGGATTCGACTTTGGCACCGTACCACCGGAGCTGGAACTAAAAGACATCACCGACCCGCTTCCCGACTTCTACGACCAGGAGCTGGGCGACGACGAAAGCGACGACGATTTCGGCAGCGACGACGAGGCAGCGGCGCATCTCGCCGCCGCGCGGGCCCGGCACGCTCTGGCCGGGACCAAGAAGCGCCGCCCGGGCGGCATCAGGACCGCGACCGCGCCGAGGAGCGACCTCCTCGCCGGACACGACTTGGGGAGCCCGTTCCTGGGGGCCTCCACCCCGGGCATCCTGGGCGGCCCGGGACTGAGCTACTTCCAGGGCCATCTGGGCACGGGCACGCACACACCCCTGGCGGCCGTCGCGGGCGCTCACCTCGGAAACTCGTGGATGGCGCCCGGCGCCGTCGACGCCTCCGACTTCGCCTACGCCGCAGGCCGTCACAGGAACCCCTCGCAGAGCAGCATATCTGTCGACAACCTCTCTGTCAACCTGGAGGGCACGTCGCCGCCGCTGCGGGAAAAGTCTAGCGTCTCCACGCTCGCCCCTACGTCGGTGGGCATGTCTCGGCCTCCCACGCGGGACACGCACCTCGCTGATTCGGCTGTCGAGCAAGGCGGTGATGGCGCCCACGCGGGACTGGACGCGGGCGCCCTCGATGATGAACTCGCAGCGCACAGGAGAGAGCCGAGGGTGGAGGACGTCCAGGCCGTCTTCAGGATATGCTACGCAGGGGACGTGCGGCTGAATCTCACGGCGGAGATATTGCTGGATTATCCCATGCCGAGCTTCGTCGGTATCCCGCTGAAGCTGAATATCACGGGGCTGTCGTTTGACGGGGTGGGCGTGTTGGCAAAGATCAGGAAGCGTGTGCATTTCTGCTTCCTGAGTCCAGAGGATGCGTTGGCGGCTGTTGGGTCTGTGGACGGGGCGGAGGATTGCGGCAGCGGAGGTGGAGGGAAGCAAAGCACGAGCAAGAACACTAGGCTCGGGGGCTTGTTGCAGGAAATGAAAGTTGAGAGTGAGATTGGCGAGAGGGAAGGCGGGAAACAGAGCCTCAAGAACGTCGGCAAGGTTGAACGGTTTGTGTTGGAGCAAGTCAGGCGCATATTTGACGAGGAGTTTGTGTATCCTAGCTTCTGGACGTTTTTGGTATGAGCACCACGGCTTGGGGACCAGGTGTCACGTTACGGTGGTTCTTTGTGCCCACGATGGGTTCAGATACAACAGTTGCCTCCAAAGATGGGGCATGTTCGTCATCCAAGATTTGCATTTCACTAACAATGCGCTTCCGAGGTTCATGTCAACGTTCTTCGGAATCCCTGATATGCCTGCTGTATGTCCAGCTCCAACTCCCTGGCTTGCTGTTCGCTTAACTCATCCGAAGCCTTCATCTGATTGAGCGTGATTAACCATTGTACAATCTTGCCTCTGCTATCAAAATCCTGGTCTGTCACACGGTTCACAGATTGAATCACATCGGATAGCAGGGGGTGCAGCTGGTCTTTGGACAACATGCCCAGCTTCACGGCGTCGAGGAACGTAATGAACTCTTGCGTGGCTTCGAGAATTAATACACCGCTCGTATTGTTGGCAGCTGAGGATGTCTGCTGCCCGGGAGCCGAGTACGATGCGGTTACGGTGGTCGAGGGCATGCCGACACGGAGACGTTCGGTAGCACGGGGGGCTTGGAGCTGAAGATGGGTCAGGATATCAGCATAAGAGGACGTGGACCCGAAATATGGCCAAGCATACATCCCATTTGGCTTTGAATTCTTCAAGGCCCTGGAACTCGGCGGCGATTGTCTCGTCCGCCAAAAGCGCCTTGTACTGGCGTAACGATCGCTCGCAGATGTCGGTGTATTCTGCTTCGGGAATCGCATCCTTCAAAAAAGCCCTTTCGAGCTCGTCAAGCGTCACGATTATACTGAAGAGTTCTGCGAGAGAGTCCTGCAGATCGCGCTCAGCCCGAGACTCCGTGAGCTTGACTTCCTGCGTGGAATGTTAGGTCGACAGCCGGACGGCCCTTCGATTTATCGCAGAGAGGACAGACCTCGTCTAGATTGATTGTTGCTGAGAAACTACTGTTGGGAATGTAGCTATGCGGCGTCGGCGCATAGCCTTGCAGAGGAAGCATGGCGGCGGGTCAAGGCGGCATACTGAGCTCAACTTGAGGACACGCGCAACAGGCCGGAGCTCGACGAGTCCAAAGTCAAGGCCAAGCTGAGGGTGGTGATGCTTGGAGGGAGGGGAGGGGAGGGGCCAGGGGCAGAATGGGGCTCACCGCCTGCCCCGACTTCTGGGTACTATCGATAAGTCAAGTTCGAAAAAAAAATTTGGGCTGTAATTATTGGCCATTGATTGACCAGACGCATCGACTTCGCAGACATCCAGGTTTAGTTCCTGCTTCAACAACATACACCTGCGGGCCATTTCTTCACCACGAGGAGTGGTGAGACATTGCCAGCAATGGGTCCCGGCAAGAAGAACCTCAAGGCGACCAAGAAGTTCGAGAAGAGCAATCTCAAGGGTGTCTTGGACAGGAGAAAGGCCGTCGCCAAGATTAAACAACGGCAGCAAATCAAGGATAAAAAACAAGCTCGGCGAGCAAAGGACGCCGAGTTTTATAAAGGCACTGACGATGGATCGACACCGGGTCGGAAGCCAAATGGCGCCGAGGGAAAGAAGAGCGGCGAGATGAGCGTCGACGACTTTTTCCGGGGCGCATTTGACGAAATTGTCAACAGCAACGAGAGCAAACCTGGCAAACCTGGCAAGCGCAAGAGGAGCGAGCACAAAGCGGATGACGAGGAAATGAGCGATGGTAGCGGCTCTGGTATGGATAACGGTGAGCCGCCGGCGGCTAGTGAAAGCGAGCACGGCAGCGACGATGACGAAGAAGGCGGCATGAGCAAAGGAACCATGGATAAGCTGGCCGAGAAAGATCCCGAGTTCTACAGATTCTTAAAGGATAACGATCCGGAGGCGCTGGACTTCGATGATGACGCGGACTTGGCAGAGGTTGATGAGCTTAGTGCCGGCGAGGAGGAACACGATGAAGAGCAGCCCAAAAAGAAGAAGCAGAAGAAGGCCAAGGCCAATGCAGAACACGACCAAGAAGACGGCGAGCCTCCCCGGGGCAACGAATTGACCAGATCTGCAGTTGCTGGTTGGCGAAAAGCCATGGAGGAAAAGAAGTCGTTGAGAGCAGCTAGACAAGTTGTTCTTGCATTTCGATGCGCCGCCCGCTTGAATGAAGACGAAAATGACGAGGGCGAAACCCAGCAACGCTGGGCTATCAACAGCCCAGAGATCTACAATGACCTCCTGATCCTGGCACTGAAGCACATCCCCGTGGTAATGAACCACCACCTGCCCATCAAGGAGTCTGCCTCCGGCAGAGTCTACGTGCAGACCGAGACCAAGAAGTTCAAAACATTGTCGCTTTTGCTCAAGTCTTACACCTCGTCAATCATGTACCTCCTCGGCACTCTGTCCGACGACAAGACCCTCAAGCTGACCCTTTCATCCCTGACACCCATCCTTCCGTATCTCCTGTCGTTCAAGAAACTCGTCAAGGCGCTGTCCAAAGCCGTCGTCAACTTCTGGGCTCAGCCGGCCAGCTCAGAAACCACCCGAATCACGGCGTTTTTGGTCCTTCGCAGGCTCGCCGTAATCGGGGACAAGGGCATTCGTGAGATGGTCCTCAAAGCAACATACCAAGGCCTCGTTCAAGGCTGCCGCGTCACCAATCACAACACCATCCAGGGCATCAACCTGATGAAGAACTCGGCCGCAGAGCTCTGGGGCATCGACCCGGCAGTCGGATACACGACGGCCTTCACATTCATCCGCCAGCTCGCCATCCACCTCCGCAACAGCATAGTCAACAACAAGAACGACTCCTTCCGCATGGTGTACAACTGGCAGTTCACGCACTCGCTCGACTTTTGGTCCTGCGTCCTCGCCGAGCACTGCTCTCCGCTCAAGGAAGCCGAGGCCGGCAAGGAGAACCAGCTCAAGCTCCTCATCTACCCCCTCGTTCAGGTCACGCTCGGTGCGATGAGCCTCATTCCCACCGCCATCTACTTCCCCCTCCGCTTCCACCTCGTCCACTCGCTGCTGCGCACCTCCCGCGCAACAGGGACCTACATCCCGCTCGCCTCCCCGATCCTCGAGGTCCTCTCCTCGGCCGAGATGAAGAGGCCCCCCAAGGCAACCACTCTCAAAGCCCTCGACTTTGCCGTCGCCTACAAAGCACCCAAGTCGTATCTCCGCACCCGCATCTACCAGGACAACGTCGGCGAGAAAATCGTCGAGCTTCTGAGCGAGTTCTTCCTTCTGTGGTCCACGTCCATCGCCTTCCCGGAACTGGCGCTCCCCGTCATCATCCATCTCAAGCGGTGGCTGAAGCAGGCCCGCTCCAAAAACCAGGGCAATAAGAACGCCAAGCTCATTTCCCAACTCGTCACCCTCGTGCAGAAGCTGGAAGCGAACGCAAAGTTTATCGAGGAGCGCCGCGCCAAAGTGGACTTTGCGCCCAAGGATCGCACACAGGTTGATGCGTTTTTGAAGGACTTTGACGTGGCCAAGACGCCGTTGGGGGCGTTTGTCGTGAGCCAGAGGAAGGTGCGCGAGGAGAAGAGCAAAATGTTGGAGCAGGCGAGGAAGGAGGAGGACAGAAAGAGGATGGAGGGCGAGAGGGGCGTCGACGAGGAGAGCGACGATGAAATGGAGGTTGATGGTGAGGACGAAATTGGCGACCAGGACAACGGCGAGGTTGAGATGGAGGACGACGACGGAGACAGCGAGTAAAAAGATCATCATGTATGTAGTATACCTTGTAGAGCGAATACTTGATTTTCCTTGCTGCACGTTTCATTACGCAAAATCGCGAGCCAGGCACGTCATCACCCATCCTCTCGCCCAAGCAAGATAATGATATACACGGCGTCTTTCGAGACAAAGACAAGACTCATCCAACCCTTTAACCCAAAACTCCGCGTGGTGAAAAAAAAAGTATGCCCCTAATCCAGCTGGAAAAGCAAAGACTTTCGGCGCCATGAATAACGCAATGCCAACGCCAATAACACCAATCCTTGAATAAAACTGTCCTCAAAACCAATAAACACCATTTTTCACTGCCAGGTTCCATGCCTCAATGCTTCGCTCACAACATTGCACAGTTATTCTGTGCCGTTCGTTTCCTAGAGCCTGCACATGTGCCGTCTGTATTTAATTAGTCTCTTGAATGCCTTCCCAGGTGAACTGTTCACTTCCGCCAGTGACATCTCGCACCGTCATGCCAGTGATGTTGAGAACAGTCATCTCAACTTCTTCCTCTGTCATGGCCTGTCCAGCCAACTTTTGTCCTTCGAGGACATCATACAAGCTGTAGATTTGATCATTCTTCACTTCCATGCGTTTCAAAATTGTTCGAATAGATTCAGCAAGGCTCATTCGATCGCGACGGCCAATAGCCTTATCACTTCGATTGTACTCTGCCTGCAGGCGAGAGAGCTCCAGCTGAAGGTGTTCAGCCTCATCTTCTAGGCCCTTGATGACAAGAGCGAGAGCGTGGCCCGGTGACTGCGAGGGACGTATTGTGGGGTCGTCGCCGGCGAGACTGCGATCTGTCACTGGAACTGGACGCGAGACGGTGACGCGTTTTTTGCCAGACGCTGCTTCCGACGAAGATATAACGCCACGGTGAGACGTGATGCGACTGCAAACTATACAGTTGCGGCAGCTATGCTCACAAAGGCCGTCCAGAACACGGCGTGCATCGGTAGACAGAGCTGGGCATGTGTCGTGGTTCGTAGTCTTGTTGGGTCCGTCGGTGGTATCCAGTTCCATTGTGTGTTTCTGTGCTGGTCGTGGGTTGCTGGCGCGTCGTGAGGTGTTGCTTTGAGTAGTGACCTCGCGGTGTGACTGAATATTAACGTCCTTCATGGAGACGCTGAGTGAGATGGCCGCGTCCTGGTTTGTAAAGTCCTCAGATTGGAAGTCGCCTGTCATTTCATCCTCGTCATGGGTAAGATCCAACTCAGTAGTCAAAGGTGCCTTGGCGTGTCGCCGTTTACTGCCCTGGTTTGCCGTATTGCCAACGTTTTTGTTTCGGACGGCCGCTTTCTCTGGTATCGAGAATGCCACCCCTTTAGATGATGCGCGAGGCCTACTTCTGGATCGCTGTCGGTTGTTGCTTGTGCGACGGGACATCTCCCGTGTTTCTTGTTCATGTGTGTAGACTTGAGCGGTCACTTCTGGTAGGGTGGGCATGTCTTTGGTCTCCGTGGCCTCAGCAGGACGAGACTCATTCGTCTTGACAGTGATATCAGGAAGGAAGTACGCCGAGGTCATGTTTTCCTCCGTTTCTCCGTCTGAGCGACCATAGACTTCGTTTTTGTGTGATGGTCTGCAGTGGTCGAGTTGCTGCTTCAGGAAGTCAACTTCCTCCTTTCTCTTGAGATTTTCCTCGTGCAGGTCATGAACACTGCGCTCAAAGCCCGAGTTCTCTCGTCGAAGAATCTTATTTTCGTTGAAATATTTCTCATTGTGTCGGACAAGACTGTCGTTGTCTGCCTGGAGAACTGATTTTTCTTGAGTGATTGTCTTTATCGCCGCACGGAGAGTGTCGATCTCTTCACGAGCCGCATCCAGCTCATGCTGGGCTCCATCAAGATTCTCACGAAGGTCCTCATTTTCTTCCGTCAGTCTATCGTTGCTGGCGCGAAGAGATCTATTCTCAGCCAGCAGACATTCATCATTACGACTGTTCTGATGGGCGCGAAGTGAATCGATCTGTTCTCGCAGACGCTTCTGCTCCTTGCGCAACTTTTCGTTATCGGAGCGGAGAGACGCATTATCGAGCTCCAGCGCATCGCGACTGTGCTTCAATGACGCGAGATCACGTCGAAGAGTGTCATTGTCCCGCCGAATATGATCCGAGGTCTCGAGTTGTTCCCGTGAGGTAGATAGCTCTTTTTCTCGAACGCTGAGCTTGCGAGTGAGCTTGCTAATGTCTTCACACGCGTCCTGCAGTCGGACAATAGCCCTATCACGCTCATGGGCGACGGCATCATTTGCAATTTCATTCGTGCTCATCTTTCTTGAAGCGTCATCCAGCCGGGCTTGCAAAGTTGCAACCTCTAGCTCCAATTCTGTAAAAGACCGTGTTAACACTGCAATGGTAGACAGCTAAAGGTCAACTTGGAAACTTACTTTTCTTTTGTGCCAAAAGTTTCTCGCTTTCGTCATGGCTGCCGCCGCTGAATCTGCCGTGCCTGAATTGAGCCTCCAATCTTTGAACCTGAAGCTGCAGACCCTCTGCATATTCCTGAACCTTATCATGGGCGGCCTGCAGGGAAACAATTTCATCGCGGATCATATCCATAGAGACAAATATTTTCTCTTCATCCTCGGGAACTTCAATGCCATCAACTTGTGCGTGGGCAGCGGTATTGGGCCGTTCCTGGCGATCGTGCACCTTGCCATGCTTCACGAAAATTGGGACGCCATTTTTCATGGAGCCGCTAAACTTGAGGGTGCCAGTTACGAAGTCTCCAAGGCGGGAGACATCTGGCATGAAGAATGAACGTACGTTAGACGCGTCATGGCCGGGGCTTGCCATGGAAGCTGGCGAGGGGGCCACGGCGGTCAAGCTAGATTTTCCTGAGGACATGTGAGGGGAGTCTTGGTTGGTGTTTCGAGGGCTGAGAGAGGCTCGTTGGAGACGGCTCAAGGCATCTGTAATTGACGAAGGTCGCTGTTGATCTGCAATAGGCTCTGAAGGCGCCCGGGCATGCGGCTTGGACAGTGGGCTTGGATGTTTCTGCGAGCTTGCGGCACCGTAATAGGAAGCAGGTCTGGCTGGTGACTTGTCCAGGATGAAAGAGAGCTCGGATTCGTTGTCGACGCGGGGCTGTATCTCGGCACGTGTTTTGGTTGCCGCAGTCCAGATATCCTGAGTAGAGTCGTCGACGGCGGGCTTGACGTTGGAGACTGGCGCCCTATTCTCCTTGGACTGTGGTTTCCAAGGTCGTATATCAGTGGCATCGTCAAATACGGGTGCCTTGTTCGGGTCGGGCTTGGAGAAGTGTTGGGGCCATTTGCGGTGTGCGGCCTCCCAATTGACGGGCAGTTTTCTCGGGGCAGTAACACGAGCAATGTCCTCATTGAGTCGGCGCGTAGACTCTCCGTCGGGGTCGGAAAAGAGTGACGACATGGTTACGGTGCCATGGGAGCCAGTGGAAGACGGCGGAGAGTTGAAAGGATTGGCGCGGTTAGCATTCATTTCTCTAAGAATGCGTGAGCGATACCGATGTATGGCGTCGGTCTCCATGGCGCTCCAGTACGCGTTGTACGCGATGCCAGCGCTTAGGAGTCGACGATGGGTATTGAATAGATGCGAATAGTCGAATGGTGTCTTGGGTTTCCCAGTTCCAGGTCGTCGGGCAGCGCGTGGATGCGACAGGCGCGTGGTCAATGGCTTAGGAGCAGAGTCCCGCCGAGGTGAGGAAGGGGCATACGACTTGCAGACACGCGTGCTGTTCGCCTCAGGCGTTGCTCATGAAGAGTGTGAATGTCAAGAGTCACTGAGAAACGCTGCAAGTCGGGCAAAGCGCTGAGGCGTTGTCACGGAACGGGACATTTGGGGTACACCGAAGTTGGTGTTGAAAGTAAAGGACCCCAGGTCACTCGTGGGTGATGCAAGTGTCACGCGTTCTGATTGGTGAATAGTGCATCTGTTTTGAGAGAAAGTAAACAAACCAGCCCAGCCAGTGGGTGTCCATGATACAACCGGAAGTGGGCCAACAACAAACGGACGGGTCGTGCTATTCGTGCTACCAACCCTATCTATTCGTGCTACCGCAGCTTAATTTAGCCTAGTGACTAACTGCCTACACCCCACTATACATTTTTATATATACCTATATAGTTGCGCTTACTTTTTAGAAATTTAATTAGTATTTAAATTAAATCTATTATTTTTTTAATAATATAAGCCTAAGCAAGCGCTAGTAGCGCTTAAATTGCTTAAAAACGTAATTTCTAGTGTTTTTAATAAATATATATATATTATAGGCTGTAATTATTCTGCTGCCTAAGCTGTTAATTATTCTACTGCCTCTAAGAGCGCTGCCTAAGCTTCTAAGGAGTTATCTATTAAATCTATAGTAACTCTAATACTACTACTTACTCTATAGCTTATCTACTTATTAATTAAAGTTATATATTATTTATAGTATTTATTAATTACTGCTTTAACTATATTATAAGTCTTCTTTATTATTATATCTTAAATTATTTAACTAATTTATCTTGCATTACTATATATTATATACTTAGATTAGTTTGTTAGCAACTTTAAGAGCCTAATTAAGGCCTTTAACTTAGCTGTTAACTACTATTATTATTAGAATTTTAGTATTATATATTTAAGAGTAGTAAGTAGTATCTTCTATAATTAATTCTATAAAAATAATAAATTTAAAGATATAAAGTATTAAAAGTCTATAGGTTAATATTAAGTATATTTTCTATAATAAATTAATAGAGATTAAAACTAAAACTTACTAGTAGCTTTATAAGCTACTAATAATAAGAAATATTACTTCTTTTTAAGAGCTATTATACTTATAGCTTTAATAAAATAATATATATATAAAGCAGCATAAATTAGTATATAAAAGAGCAATTTCCCTTATAAAGTTAAAGCTATTTACCTTTATAATAATTAGCTTCTGTAAGCTTATACTAGCAGGCTAAGAGATTAACAGCTTTATAGAATATTTATATAGGTAAATTACTAAGCTATTTACTATACCTATATATATTTTGCTGCTAAAGCTTTATTATAGCTGCTTTTTAAGAATATTTATAATCTTTTTTAAGAATTATCTACTAAATTAATTAAAAGAGTATAAATAAATTGCTATTACTAATATATATATAGAATTTTATATTATAATATACTGCTTTAATTAGACTTATAGTTATATACCTAAAATTCTAATAAAATTAAGTGTAATAATAAGCTTACTGCTTGTACTAACTATAATAAGTATTCTTAATATAATTAAAAATGCCTTATTACTATAAACTATATATATTCTTTATCTAGTTTTATATAGAGTTAAATGCTTTAATTTCTTATATATAAATAAGTAATTTAACTACTAAAGTAAGGCTATTTAGGCATTTATTAAATGCCTTAACTTCTAGGTTATTATTATTATTATTATTATTAGAAGGTTTTTAATAGAAGAGGGTTTTTGCCTTTATATTTATAAATATATACTAAATATATATTTATTACTATATCTTAGGGAAAACAACTTATAGAGCGTTTTTAAGTGCTTTATTAAAGTTAGTTATAATAACTTTAAGCGCCTTAATTTTATATTAATTTTATATTTAATTAAGGCTTAGTAAAATCTATTAAAAAGTAGGTTTATTCTCTTTTATTATAAAAGTAAATATAATATTTATGCTAGAGTTCTAGTCTATAATAGTAATTACCTAGAATAAGTATAATTTATAGCAGTTAGTTGTTAGTCTTATAAGTATTATCTATATAGAGAACTTAAGGGAAAACTTTCTATTAATTAATGCAGGACTTATAAGTCTAAACAACTAATTCTAAATAGCTCTTATTATTATATTTAATAATATATAGTAAATCTTACTTTTTAAGAAGCTTAACAACTTATTATATTAAAGAAAATTTATTAAGCTTCTTTATATAAGCTTTTGCAACTTAGTTATTGTCAGCCAGAAAATAGGGGTGCATGCGCTGTATACAATTGCGCAGTAATATAAGGTCAATTTGCGTCTCCAATCGTCGGAGCGCGTTCTACTTTTGCGTGGTGCAGTTGACCTTGCGATTTTCCGCCAACAGTTATAAAGGTCTTTATAGCAAAAATAAACCTCTATCTCTTCTCTTTCTGCTATATTATAAATAATATTACTTATCTTACAAACTAGAAGAGCTTAGTATTATATAAAGTTTATAAAGTGCTTTATTTAAGTAACTATAAACCTTTAATATATTAGCTTAGCTAATAAGTTAAGAAATTAACTATAATTATACTAATAATATATTACTTTATAAGTCTAAACTTAATTTATATTAACTATTATAGTTACTAGCTAAAGCTTAAACTTATAGTTATTCTTTTTAGTAGCAGCTTATTAAATTCTACTTACTTAAAATATTCTTCTAGAGCTATAATAGTATAAAAAGCTACTATACTAAGGCTACTACTTTCTGCTAACTTTAATAAACTTAATTATAAAGCTTTTAATAAAAGTAGTACTATTTGCCTTACTTTAATTCTATAAATTATTAAAAAAGTAATTAAAGTTACTATAAGCTCTTAGTAGTAGTATTTTAGAAATTAAGCAGCTAAAATCTTTATTATTAAGCAGCAGCTTAAAGTTATTAAAAGAGAGTTTAAGCTATACTTTAGGGAAGACATTAAAACTTATAAATTTAGGTAGATAAGTATTATCTATTAAAGATATAAGAAAAGCAGTATTTTAGCGTAATTATAGAGTTTAAAATTAAGCTTAATATTATATAATTTAGCAATATTATTATAGAGTTACAAAAAGGCTATCTAAGCAGCTGCACTCTATTTTTTTTGTTATTATAAAGCATTTTCATAAGACTCTATAGTTGCTAGGGCAATATATATAAAATTATATAGCAGGGCGTAGTGGGTCAGGGTGTAGGCCTAAAATCGGGGTGGGGCGTCAGCACGAATAGATAGGGTTGGTAGCACAAATAGCACAGCCCGAACGGACCAGTTGACTTGACTCTACATCAAGTACGTACCCAAGACAGGAAGGAACAACAGAAGCCAGAGAACAAACTTCGTCGTTAACTTCAAGTGCTGCAGTAAACTTGCCCCATGTCACTATTAAAATTAACATGCGAGCCATCAAACGCTTTTTTTTTTTTCTATTTGTCATAACTCGGACTCCGATCCTCGATACGACGACACCGATCTTCAGTCACCAATCTAGGTAATTCCATGGTTCGTCTTGGCGATGATGATGCGTGAGCTAAGCTGCACGAACCGAGATACCATCACAAAGTCGCCAAGTAACACGATTATGGCTTGAGGCCAAAACACAAGCTGCGTGACGGGATGCCTTTGGATTGCATTCTCCATTGCTTTGAAAATTTTTAATCGTACACCAGTCCGGGCCGGTGCAGGCACCACGCGTGATCACGAAGGATGGTGGAAATTCGAACTTGTTGAAACTCCGCTTCGACCAACACGGTTTCGCAATCCTTGGCAGCGCCCTTAAGACAATACCAGATTCAACATACAGATACATTCCCCGGAAGAATACTGCCACTACCGTTTCTTTAAGCCATTATACGATGCTCGACATCTTCATGTCCTATTATCGGCCTCTGCTAGTTGATGGTGCGCGTCCTGCCTTGACCCCCACCTGCCCAGCTGGGGCCCGGATAATTTATTCGTCCCATGACGGCGGCTCGGTCGCGAGACAAATCAAGGAATGGGATGTGGAGGAGGGGATGCTACTACTACGTACTAGTGAAGTAGTACTCCCTTCAAACCTAGGAGCGTTGAATGTTTAATTTGCTGTGGGGACAAGTACAAGGATCAATGCCTTATGGCATAGTAAATGGTGATATGAATCATATGATCGTATTCGTTCGCGCCGCGTGCACGCGATCCTGCCTCACACAGCATTCGTGTCCGTCGCTAATGTCCAATGATGCCCCCTTACGACCCTCGTAGGCTCTATAAAAACGGCACCAACTCTCTGGCGGCTCAGGAGGAGAAGAAGGCCTAGTTCCTGCTCTCGCCGTCGAGTCGAGTCGTGACTCGCCTGCATCAACGGACCAGACAGTCCTAGACTCTTACTGTTGTTCGCACTGGTGCAAAATGACGCGTTTGCTATCCATCGCTAGCCTTGGTGCCGCAGTCATATCAACGTTTACTGCTGCAAGCAGTCTTGTCAAGAGAGATGTCGATTATTGCTCAGTATATAACCGCGCATCAAGCCCTGGTTGCCAGCCCGTTCCCGGGAACTTCCTTGACTCTCGGGATGACGCCCCTCCTACCCCAGACACTGACTCAGGGGTACTCGAGGATGCCTTCTCGGCGTTGTCAGTGTTACAGAATGTCTACTTTGAACCTGTCAACGGCACTTGGCCAACATCGATCGACTGGACAGGCGCAGTTGTTGAGACCGTGATAGCTGGCATGCTGACAACTCTTTCCAAGTCATTAGACTCAACTGAGAAGGGCCATAGCTGGAAGGAGAAGGAAAATCTTATTTCTTCCATCTTTGCTCAGGTCACACACTCATTCTTTGGACAAAATGCTGTTGGAATATTAGGCCAGGTGAGAAAGAAGTCTTTACGACTTCACATCCAACCCATCGCTAACATATCTTGACCCAGGCATATGATGATGTGCTATGGGTAGTCCTTGGCTGGCTTGAAGCGATCAAATTTGTCCGTCTGCACTCAACCCTCCACTATCCTGGAACAGAACAAAAGTGCCTCAACGTACCTGGTGGGCTAAGTGACGCGCTCGGCACCATTTCCTATCACGGATACAACTGGTATTGCACATTCGCCGAGCGAGCCAGAGCGTTTTGGGATTTTGCTACAAGAGGATGGGATACGAGACTCTGTCACGGGGGCATGATCTGGAACCCCCGACTGCTCCCCTACAAGAACGCCATTACCAACGAGCTGTGGATCGCAGCATCCATCTCAATGTATGAGTATTTCCCCGACGACAAATTCGACGAATCTTGGACAGCAAGTCAGGGCTTCCCGATTAACGACCCTGTGTATCTGGCGGCAGCCATCGTGGGTTACAAGTGGCTAAAGGACGTCAACATGACGAATACTCAGGGGCTGTATGTGGATGGCTACCACGTGGATATGAGCAAGCCCAACAACGTGGAGTGCGACCAGCGAGATGAGATGGTGTACACCTACAACCAGGGCGTCATTCTCACAGGACAGAGAGGACTGTATACTGTCACGGGAAGCCCATCGTACCTGGAGGATGGCCACGCCTTGGTTCGAAACGTCATCAAGGCAACAGGCTGGAGTCTTGGTAAGAACGCCCCGATAGACAACATGGAGAGAAGACCTCGTGGCAAGCTTCCTCGCTGGCGAGGAATCGGTCGCGGCGGTATTCTAGAAGAGCAATGCGACGTAAACGGGACGTGCTCACAAGACAGCCAAACCTTCAAGGGGATCTTCTTTCACCACCTCACCGCATTCTGCGCCCCCATCTCGCCAGTGAGAATACCTGACGCTGCCACTGTCAACAAGACCGAGCTTGGCAAGGCGCAGTGTTCCCACGATAAAACCTGCCGCCGTTATTTGCCCTGGATAAAATACAACATGGATGCGGCCCTTGCAACTCGAGACAAGGCGGGTCGTTTCGGCATGTGGTGGGGAGCCAGTGTCTTTGACGGCTTCGATGCCTCTGGACAAACAGATGGCATGAATCTTACATCTCCCAACACGACCGACTATCGAAATAAGGGGACCCCGATTGACGTCACTTGGGGTCTCAACATGACATGGCGGCCTGGTTCGAAGACGGTCACGGGCCCGTACCAAGGTCTCTTGCCGAGACCTGATCCGAAGCTGAGGACTGGCGTTTCGCCGGATCTTGGTGTTGACTCGCAAATTCTCCTCGGCCGGCAAGTTAAGCCTGGAGATGCAAATGATCGCGGCAGAGGCAGAACCGTAGAAACACAAGTCGGAGGGCTGGCCTTGATAAGGGCATTTTGGGAGTTGTCTCAACCGTCGTCGGCTGAGTGCGAGCTATATAATTAACACCGTTATTTAGTTGCCCTAGATGGCTATAATTAGCTAATTGCTTGTACCCCTACTGGATATAATTAATAAGACTTGTCATCAGATAAGATGGTCTGCATGTCAAAAAGTTCCTGGCTTAAACTACTGCAACCCCGTTACCGCGGGGGCTTTGGTCTTTTCGACGTCCGGACCTTCACAACTCAACTTTGGGCTCGCGGCCGGAAAAAATACCGACACTTTGTAGCGTGTGTATCTCGCTCTTGAAGCGAAGCATGGCGCAAAGTCCGTTTCACGTGTTTCGAGTGCAATGGGCTTGCGGTATTTCGATTTCTTTCCACGATGGCACTGCCTGCCGTGAAGATCCACGGAATAAACTTGAAGAAGGATTGATGGCTTCAACAAACGTCCGGCGAGATGCGCGTTAACTAATACGGTTACGCAAATTGCGCTTGCTTGAGTCGCCGTTGAGCGTAGGGAGCCGTACATGAAGCCCTTGTTTCGATACTCGACCTGACCATGGTCTGCTCCCGTTGCTGACGAGAAAACATGCTGAAATCCAAGGCACACAATGCTAACGAATGGCCTTGGTTTGCGGTAGCACGGGGCGCTCGCCGTTTGACTCCTCAAATGTCTCTTCACAAGGTCCTCAACTCGTGGTAGTCGTCCTCTAGTCCTAGTCCTAGTCCTAGACTATGACACTCGGCCGCAAGACATGACGGGCATCTGCGACACGGGCTCTACCGATACTATCGTGCCCGAGGCGCGCAGTGCCGTGTGAGACCTCCCGAACCGCCGGTGCCGAAACGCCAACTTTCTTTCGGCAACTTTGGCCAAGAGCAGCGACATTGAGGAGCTGAATCCCAACACTGGCACCACCTTCACCGGAGACGACAGCTTCAGCGGCGCGCACATCCAAATGTCGGTCGGCTTCGGGAGGGACCAAGATTGAAGGGTCGCAGGAGACTGTGGGGAGAATTCCCCCATTGTCGGATGTCTGGAATCGGACCGGTGGCGGATCGGCCTCTGCACACGGGCATAGACGTACACATGATGCCTGGTGATGGATAACTCTGGGGTTGCTGTATGAGGTGGCATGACACACAAAATAGTGTGGCGTGGTCACGTCCGTTTGGCAGGCTGGTGAGATACGGAGATAAGAACAAAGTGGCGCGCTGGCTCACGCACAGGCCAGTTACTCCGTATCAGCGACACTGTATTACCAACTGATGGCACTGGGGTCCCGCCTATTCCTTGCCAGCGCGCAGGGAAACCCAGGGCGAACCGGGGAAAAAAAAAAAAAAAAAAAACAA